CCTGCTACAGGTAACTCACACCACCCCTGTACAGATCACACCTGCTACAGGTAACACACACCACCCCTGTACAGATCACACCTGCTACAGGTAACACTCACACCCCTGTACAGATCACACCTGCTACAGGTAACACACACCACCCCTGTACAGATCACACCTGCTACAGGTAACACACACCAACCCCTGTACAGATCACACCTGCTACAGGTAATACACACCACCCCCGTACAGATCACACCTGCTACAGGTAACACACACCACCCCTGTCCCATCCCAGGACCGACCAGGCCTGACCAGGCTTGTCCTTGCTGATCCACACACACTGGTCACTGGTGTCCCATCCCAGGACTGACCAGGACCGACCAGGACTGACCAGGCCTGTCCTTGCTGATCCACACACACTGGTCCCTGGTGTCCCATCCCAGGACTGACCAGGACCGACCAGGACTGACCAGGCCTGTCCTTGCTGATCCACACACACACTGGTCCCTGGTGTCCCATCCCAGGACTGACCAGGACTGACCAGGACTGACCAGGCCTGTCCTTGCTGATCCACACACACACTGGTCACTGGTGTCCCATCCCAGGACTGACCAGGCCTGTCCTTGCTGAGACACAGCCCGGGCTACGGGGGTGACACCGCTACCGTTCTGTGTCGTTCAATCTCCTCCCTCTCTCCCTCTCTCCCTCTCTCCCTCTCTCTCGCTCTGCCCCCCCCCCAGGGTGGCGGTCACGCGCTCCAAGGACATCCCCCTGTTCGGCCCGCTCTTCCCCCAGGGGGCGCGCTTCCCCAAGTCGCCGGCCTTCCGCGACTTCCTGCTGGCCAAGGCCGTCAACGCGGAGAATGGGGCGGACAAGTCGGAGAAGTTCCGCTCCATGGCCACCCGCACGCGCCAGGAGTACCTGAAGGACCTGGCGGAGAACTACGTCACCACCACCCCCATCGACTCCTCCACCAAGTTCCCCCTGCTCTCCCTGGGCGGCAAGCGCAAGGAGAAGCTCAAGGGCTCCAAGGGCGCCGAGATGCACAGCGCGGGGGCCCTGGTGTGGGCGGCGGGGGCCCGGCCGGGGGGCGGGGAGGGCGACTGGGTGCCCTGCCTGCTGGGCATCTCGGCCGAGTCCGTGGTGCTGATCGAGAGGGGCTCCCGGCAGGTGGTCTTCAACTGCTCCTGCCGCGACGTGATTGGCTGGAGCGGCGGGCGGGGCGGAGCCGGGGGCGGGCCCGGGGGCGGGACCTGCCTGGATATCTTCTACGAGAGGGGGGAGGCGGTGTCCGTCAGCATGCCGGAGAGCCAGGGGGAGGAGATGAAGGAAGTGATCCAGAGGCTAGAGGTGAGCTCTCGAGCGCGTTCCTTTTTCTTCCCGCATGAAAGTGCCAGTTAGCTTGTGCTTGCCCAGGTCCTGATCCATTTTGAACTCTGACCTTTTTGACCTCTGACCTACATGACCTCTGACTCTTGTGACCTCCGATCATCTTGACCTCAGACCCTCGTGACCTCTGACTCTTGTGACCTCCAATCATCTGGACCTCCGTCCCTCGTGACCTCTGACCCTCATGC